GCTCTTGCCCCTTGTAAGCCGCCCTGAGTCCGCTTGCGGGGAGGGCGGGGTAAAAATGCCTAAATAAAATAAATAAATAAATAAATAAATAAATAAATTTTGGAGGACATTAATTCATCAGGTCGCCATATGTTGGAAGCAACTGAACGGCACTTAACACACACTCATTTGTCAACCAAAGTGGTAAGGTAGAATGTTGCGTCGTCAGGTGACGATGTGCAGGGAAATGGTCATCTATATAGACTGAAGGTAATCTTAAAAACTTACCCAGTTATCAAACGTAAGTATAAGGAAATCTATTCTAAAGAAACTGGGAAAGACGAAGCAGAAGAATGAATGTGGAAGTGTTCATAAGCGCCAGGCAAACAAACAAATGGAAAGAGTCATATGATGGAGCAGGTCTATTCTCTCTTGCTCTGGATTGCAAGGCTAGATCTAATGGGTGCAAATTACAAGGAAGTCGTTACCGGCTCAATATCAGGAGAAACGTCCTAACCGAAAGAGTGGTTGAGCAGTGGAACAGACTGCCTTGGGAGGTGGTGGATGCTCCTTCACTGGACGTTTTCAAGCGGAGGCTGGGCGACCATCTTTTGGGTACGTTGTAGGGCTACCTTTCGGCTCTGCTCCTGCAGAGTGCAAGGGGTTGGACTAGATGACCTGCAAGGTCCCTTCCAGCTCTAACAGTCTATGATTCATACAAATTGATAAGCACAAGAGCGGCAACACCATGAAATCGTCAGTACTTCAACTTTTTGCAGAGACAATACAGCACTAAACAAAAAAAATTCAAAGCAGTTCATTTGAACACATCTGCTTGATATAGCAGTACTGATACCCAAGGTGGCAGATAGTGCTGCTGAGTTGCAGACCCCTGTAGGGTTGTCAAGGCAAGAGATGAGCAGAGGTGGTTTGCCCTTGCCTGCCTCTGCATAGCAGCCCTGGACGTCCTTGGTGGTCTTCCCATCTAAGTGCTAACCGGGGCTGACCCTGCTTAAATTCTGAGATCTGACGAGATTGGGCTACTCTAGAACTACTAACATTACTGAAGATCTTCATTCCTAGCCTACATGTTGTTGTTGCTGCTCAGTCGCACAGTTGAGTCCGAGTCTTCGCGACCCCATGGACCCCATCACGCCAGGCCCTCCTGTCTTCCGCCGTCCTCTGAAGTTGGCTCAATTTCATGTTCGTTACATCGATGACACTGTCTAACCATCTCCTCCTTTGCCGTCCCCGTCTTCTTTGACCTTCAGTCTTTCCCAGCATCAGGGTCTTCTTCTCCAGTGAGTGCTCCCTTCTCATTTGCTGGCCAAAGGATTTGAGCTTCAGCTTCTGTTAAGTCGCTCACTTAACAGAATAGTCGGAGAGTGATTCAGCAAGAACACAGCTTTATTCTCCAACTCGAACACAACTCCAACACGGATCAACATCTGATAGCCAGAACAGCCTTGACATTGCACTCGCAGCCATACAGTACTACTGGGAATACCATTGCTTTGACCATACAGACTTTTGTTGGCAGGGTGATGTCTCTACTTTTTATTATCCCTCATGGATCACTGCCTTGATGTGGCGAGGGAGCTTGCGTGGTTCAATGAGGCTGTGGGCTATGCCGTGGAGGACGGACAGGCCACAGCAGAGAACTCAGACAAAGTGTGATCCACTGGAGAAGGAAATGGCAACCCACTCCAGTATCTTTGCCAAGAAAACCCCATGGACAGTAACAAAAGCCTACATATAAACATAAATAAAACAAGCATACATCAAACAAATCAATATATAGTCACCATACTTGCCAAAGCCTCCTACCATAGACCCACCAGGGAGTACCGATGACGCTTGTTATCACTACACTTAAAGAACAACAACAACTGCACGGCTCAAAAGTGAAATGCTGTTTGTGTTTTTTGGGGAAAACACTATGCCATGGAAGCCTCAGCCTAATCTACCTCGCAGGGTAGTTGTGAGGATAAAAATGGAGAGGAAAACAATGTAAGGTACTTTGGGGAGAAAGACAAGATATAAATAAAATAAGATAATATAAAAACATGGCCCCATACTTGTCTCGCCCTGCCCTAGCACCTGCAATCCATGCAACAGCCACCTTCAGGATGGATTACTGTAACTCGCTCTACGTGAGCCTACCCTTGAGGCTGACCTGGAAACTCCAACTGGTATAAAATGCAGCAGCCCGGGTCCTTTTGGGGACACTGTGCACAGCACATATCCACCTGGTGCTGCATGAACTGTATTGGCTTCTGGTGGGGTACTGGATCAGATTCAAGGTTATGGTGTTGACCTTTAAAGCCCTTAACGGCCAGGGATCATCATCATCATCATCATCATCATCATCATCATCATCATCATCATCATCATCATCATCATCTTTCAATTTATTGATCACTCAATCCTTGCAGAGCTGCCGGCTCTGAGCGATTTACAGTTACTCATGTGTTGACACGGGACTAACAATGATGGGAGTAAGGGAGGACAACATATATCATTTTTTAATCGCACACACTTCGCAGTCGACAGAGAGTTTGATCAGCTGTAGGCATCAGACGTGTTCCGGCAGCATTCTTTAGTCGGCGTTGCTTGATGTCGTCAGCATTTTTCTCAGTCGCAGTACATACTTGTGGGATGGCCTCTCCTGGTGTACCCCCCAGAAGAGCGTTACGCCCGGGAGATCAGAATTTATTGGTGGTCCCCAGCCCAAGAGACGTCCGGCTGTCCTCAACCAGAGCCAGGGCTTTCTCTGCCCGGACTCCAACCTGGTGAAACTCTCTGCCAAGTAACATACGCACC